GGCTTCAGTCCTGATTGTTTCAATCAGGCTGTTGCTGGCCTGCTGGCTTATATAAGCCATCACAGCCTGGTTCATCTGGCATTTATTAGAGGTGGTTGTAGTAGTAAGATTGTGAATAAGTGAAAGATAGGGAGGGAGGGAGGGAGGGTGCTTACTCTCATTAAATAAGCTCTATCTGTGGAACACCAAAAATCTGAAAGTCTGACTGTGAAGGAGTTTGGAGCCAATAAAAACTCTCAAAAATTTTATAAGGAAGAAGGGTTACATGGTACTAATAGTAACTATCTGGGGGTCACCTGGTATTAGTAGTAACACTATGGTGGTCACATGGTACTACTAACACTATCTGGGAGTTGCATAATACTACTAACACTATCCGGGAGTCACATGGTACTACTAACAGCACTATCTGAAAACACTGGGGTCACATGGTACCAGTAACACTAGGGTCACACAGTACTAGTAACACTGGGATCACACAGTACTACTAGTAACACTGAGGGTCACATGGTACTACAAGTAACACTGGGGGTCACATGGTACTAGTAACACTGGGGGTCACAGTACTAGTAGCACAGGGGGTCACAGTGCTACTAGTAACACTGGGGGTCACATGGTACTAGTAACACTGGGGCCACATGGTACTACTAGTAATACCAGGAGTCACATGGTACTACTAGCAACACTGAGGGTCACATGGTACTACTAGTAACACTGGGGGCCACATAGTACTAGTAACACTGGGAGTCACAGTGCTAGTAACACTGGGAGTCACAGTGCTAGTAGTAACACTGGGAGTCACAGTGCTAGTAGTAACACTGGGAGTCACAGTGCTAGTAGTAACACTGGGAGTCACATGGTACTACTAGTAACACTGAGGGTCACATGGTACTACTAGTAACACTGGGGGCCATAAAGTACTAGTAACACTGGGAGTCACAGTGCTAGTAGTAACACTGGGGGTCACATGGTACTACTAGTAACACTGGGGGTCACATAATACTAGTAACACTGGGAGTCACAGTGCTAGTAGTAACACTGGAGGTCACATGGTACTACTAGTAACACTGGGGGCCACATAGTACTAGTAACACTGGGGTCACATGGTACTAGTAGCACTGGGGTCACATGGTACTAGTAGCACTGGGGGTCACAGTGCTACTAGTAACACTGGGGGTCACAGTGCTACTAGTAACACTGGGGGTCACAGTGCTACTAGTAACACTGTGGGTCACATGGTATACCCTACTAGTAACATTATCTGGTGTCTCAATTATATTCTCTCACTGTTGTGTTCTTTACTAAGCTGCATCAAGTTGACCAGGTGCAAGCAAGCTCCTATAAAGTGCCTCCATATAGTGTGAATTTTAAAATTGCAATCTTAAAAAATTGCATTCAGAATTGAATAGCATATCCTGTGAAGGCCTTTTTTGTGTGCTGTTCAAATTTTGAATGAACTTTTACAATGCCATTTACCAAATATATATATATACAGTGGACCCCCGATAAACGATATTTTTTCATTCCAGAAGTATGTTCAGGTGCCAGTACTGACCGAATTTGTTCCCATAAGGAATATTATGAAGTAGATTAGTCCATTTCAGACCCCCAAACATACACGTACAAATGCACTTATATAAATACACTTACATAATTGGTCGCATTGGGAGGTGATCGTTAAGCGGGGTCCACTGTATATATATATACACACACACATATATATATATATATATATATATATATATATATATATATATATAGTATTTAGTATATAGTAGTTTTCTAAGACAAAGCTTCCTTTGCTAATATTACCAGACAAAAATGTCAGCATTATATACTGGAATGCCTTGAAAAGTTAATTTTGACATGAATACCATAATGGACTAAAAAGATTACACAATTAAGTTAAAAGTCATTTTACTGCGCACTCACGTTTTCATTTCAAACCATACAAACACAAACAGAGCAGGTCATGATGCAAAATATCAGTGCTATACTCTTAAGAGTTCCCTGAAAAATTCGGAGATCAAGAATAACCCTGAGGCACGCCCTCACAGCTGGGACCGTGGGGGCGTTGACCCCCGGAACAACTTCCAGGTAGGCAAGCGTACTGGCTGTATAACAGTCTGGTACATATACAGTTATATAATACTTCATTTTGTGTCTGGTCACTATGGAGGATATAGCATGGAAATACCAGAGGATTTTTACACTGAGGTATATCTTAAAAGTTATGTTGTGTTATACTATTATGACATTGTAGGACAGTGCTGTAACTGTTTACAATGAGAGGCACTGTGAGGAGCTACTGTGACTATGTAGGGCAGTGCTATAGCTGTTTACAGTGAGAGGCACTGTGAGGAGCTACTGCGACCACTGAACCCCTGCTCACTGATGGTGATTAATTGATACCTAGTGTAGGCTTGAAAATTTAGGATAAATGTTCATGTGCATCTCTCTTTAGTGGCGGCAGAGTTGGAGTCATGGCTGTGCCAGGCTCGACACAGTACCCACGTTTGCAACAATGTAGTGTGCTCTAATTACACAGTTACAAGCCTTTCCTAGATTATATTTAAATGTTTTCCAAAAGAATAAAAAGGCACAATGCCATGACTGGAACATTTCACAAATAACTGCACATACAAGAAAACCTTATAATGATGTTTCAGTCCACTTGGACCATTAACTAGTTAATGGTCAAAGTCTGTCTGAAATGTCAGCATAAGTTTCTTTCTCCTATGTTCGGGTTGTGTAAATGTTTCATTTATACGTGTCCTCATTACATCAGAGGTATACAGTACTATACTGAGAAGTTAATGAGCAAGACATATGCAACACCTTATCTTCATTGGAAAAATATTTCACCTGCATAGCAGCTTTTTCTTTTTCCAGTCTACTACAGAGGTATGAAGACCGTGACCTTTATAGTGGAAATAGTGTTGAGGTGCAGTTATTAAGACATCACAGGTAAGCAGGAACCACTAGTTATACCCATAAGATGATCCAGATGTTAGAAGTGGACTTGTACAAGGTATGCTCTGTACTAAGATTCCATGGTCGTGTTTTGTGTCTCACAAGTATCATTAGTTCATAGGTGTTGCTCATGTGTGTTACTCATCAACTTATTGATATTGCGATACTTGTCCGATACAGCAACACCATGAAATTTTGGTACAGAGGATATCTTGTACCAGTCCACTGCTAATATCTGGCTCACCTTGTGGGCTTGACTTCCTTCCACTAGTGGTTCCTCTCCAACTGTGATGTATTCAAGTGCTACCTTGCCACGTCTTCCACTGGCTCCAGTATAAACCTCTCTGTCCTCGTTCCTCTATAGACTGAAAAACACCTGCTGTGCAGGAAAAACATTTCTTCAATAAAGATACTCAAGCACTGCAAATGTGTCTTATTCGTACTTGCTTCAAACCATGATTATCACTAATATAGCACATAATAAAGAGTGCAAGAAGGGAAGCGTAACTTGTCGACTGTGTCACCAAGCAGATCATGCTTGGCGTCATAGGAGGAGGAGGAGGAACCAGTGATGAATCACTGTGTATATACAATATATTACTTCACAGATTAAAACTTTGCTTAATGTTGCAAATTTATATTGAACACATCACCCATATGATGCCTATACAGTATAGAACTTCATCTGTAAATGTTCAGAGGCAAATGGAAGTGAACATTATCTTGCTAAGCTAGCCACTAGTCTGCCATATATTACACTAACTACACACTCCCATGTCTATGCAAGATGATCTTTCAGTGGTGTACATTTTATCTTCATATATACCCTACTGTAAATATATACAGTCAGTATATATGCTATGCTTTTTTTTTTAGACAATCAGTCAAACAAGCCTACCTTAAATTTTTTTTTTTTTTAAGAATTCTCTTTATAATGTAGTTTTGTGAAAAAACAAGGTATACAAATTTTTTCACTGTGCACTTAAACTATCTTAGCAACCTCACCTTTATAGCCTTGCTGAAATTAACAATTTTAGCTCTACTTAGATCAGCTTTAATTTAGTTTGTATTGTATTACTTATACTCACTGAAATATATTAATTTTGTTATATTCGGACTGATTCTCACCTTCATTACAATAACAAATTTACACTGCTAGATTGCCAAAACAATCATTGCTTTATAAGCAAAGATTGCAAGTTCTGCTTATAAAGCACTACATATACAATGTTAGAAAGAGAACAACTATAGTAAGTGGCAATAATCTCTTTCCTGTTCAATAGTTAGTGCTGTACAACACTTTATATTGCATGTACCATACTGATTTCTGAAGCCCTTGCCTAGTACAGTATTACAATTGTATATTTGTGTTAGTTTGAGGACATGGTGAAAGGATAACAAAAATTTCAACTGGTGAATGGCAATCACTTGCAAATTAAATACTGACCTTGGTGGAATCCAAACAGCACAAGCTTGAAGGATGGCAGTCCCACCTCCCACAGTGGAGCCCAACAGCACAAGCTTGGAGCCTGGCAGACCCCACTCACTCCTTTAACTGCAACTACACCATCCCTTCCTCCTTCCCCTACCCCTCTCCTACAGCTATGCCAATCCCCCTTACCCCTCTCCTTTCCTCGTACATGTGCCAACTCCTCTTTGAACTCTTCTTCTGTAGCTATCCTCCCACCCTTCCCAGCAGCTGCATTAACTAACCTTTTCTTAACTTGAAGCTATATTAAAAGCCTTCCCTTTTGCACCACTTCCTCTTTCCTACCTCCACAGCTGCACAGCCCTTCCCAGTTTTCCCCAGTCATGCCTTGACCCAATACCCTCCAAATAAAAATAATTACTAGATTTAATCTGTTGTACAATTAAAATGGGGGATTTGCTTATCAGAAGGTTTTGGTTCTAAACTTCTAATACAAAAATGATTGTAACAAGTTATACTCTACCATATTTAAAAAACAAATATACATTGCACTATATTTCATTAAAATGTGTTAGGTTGGTTACTTCTCTTCTTTCAGTGAATGGATGCTGCGAATTTTTTAATAATAATCGAAGCACATGAAGGAAACCAAGTTTCGAATTAATGCCAAGAAAACAGTGCAGCGAGTATCAACCAAGACCACAACGACTCCAAGTGTTTGGAATATATGGACTGTGGGACCTCAGTAGTTACTAGTTAAGTGCATCTGTATTAGGTGGTTTCCAGTAATAGGCCAATTTTATGATTAAAGAATTTTTTTTACTACCCAAGTAATTTTATAGACAGTAGGACTTCATGAATGGGGACTGGTCTTGATATTTGAGTTCTGAAGCATAATTACCCCCCTCCCCTCCACACAAAAAACACATTTCGCATTGCTCCGATGCAATATAGAGAGAGCTGTTTCCATATTCACGTGTATACCCACATGAAACAGATGTAAGTGCCAATAAGAGAAGCATTTTGTATAGTTTCCACCATGGACAGCCTCTCATGAAAATCATCACTGCCTTTACACTGAATGAAAGAAATATGAAACAGCATTAATAACATGTGCTTGGCTGGCCTGGTATGCAGCAGGTGCATCATTGTCACATATCAGCCTTATAACTACATCTTCATTTAAATTCTTTGAAGTAAAATTTTCCATTCATTGTGTGTAATGGTTGCACTGCCCTTGTGTTGTTATAATGTAAAAGCTTTCAAACTCGTGGAATGAGTCAGTCTTCAGACATTGTTAATGGCTGTAGCTTCTGCCAAATGTGCTTCAGTCATTAGTAGCATTTTCTTTGTTGTATCTTCAAAGCTTCAATGCCTCCATCAATGTTATTCAATTTTTTTAATAAGCAAACTCACAGTTCTTGCTAGTCTGCACTCCACAAAGGACATTACCAAATTAAAAACATGCAAGATGCGAGTTTGGGTAGCAAGGCAATGCCTGAATTTACATTTAATGATCAGAAGTTTGTGAAGGACAAATGTACTTTGACACTGCATATATGTGATGACACCTTCGCCCATGGGCTGAATTAATGATGCACTGATTGACAAGCCTTGGAAACCTTGTTCCTGGATATGAGGACTTTTCGCAGGTTATAGAGAATCTGGTGAAATCCTTCCCAAACAAATAAAATCCAGTCTTAAAGTCCAAATTCTTGAAACCCTACTGTTTATGACTGATGTTTACACTGGCAGAAAATGATGATAATTGCTTTTATTCATTTAAATTCTCACCAACACATCAGCCAATTGTTTTGTTAGGCTGAAAAAGAAATATGTGTTAAATTACATTAGTGTACATAAAAAAAAGTACATTTTCTGGTTCTTATTAAGTATTTGAATGTGCAGGATTAAACAGGATAATCTTATCAATACTAATGCTATTCACAGCTAGAAGTCAATGGCATATTCTTCATTGAGTTTTCAGTATAAAATAACCATATGAGAGAATATAATTCAACCCAGGCAAATGAAATTACTTAAATTACTAATGTAGATTCATACATAATAATGTCAAACATGTTACTGCATTGTATCTTAGATAATAAAGTAGGTGATGGGCAATAAAGTTTAAGATTTAAGTGGGCATGTAGATATTATGTGAGGCTCTTCAGGTTGAGCATTATACAGATGTGGGTAGCACAAAAATTTGTAATGTAGGATTAGATTTAAAATAAGAGTGGGAGACAGCAGTAGAGCTGTAGACAGATATTTTAGAAAATATATTTTTGTGTGTATTGTTTATTTCCTAGATTTGAGAGCATAACAGCAAGTCTCCATGGCAGCTGGAGGTGTGGACCTTCTACAATACCAATAATTATATCTTTGCTATTATCTTCAATTCTACAGGTGAAACATCACAAGTTGTACATTACAAATGAGTAAACTTTTGAAGTAATGGGCTAACATAGGGAACATAGCTGGTAATGGTGGATAGAGATAATATTGTTTTACAGTTAATTGTATAATAATGGACATACACCACACAGAAGGCTCGTCCCATGGCAAGCCAGTCCTAAAACCAGCAGGTTGGTGTGTTATCCACTGTCACCCTAAAAAGATTTAGCACCTGACCTAGTATTACGACTGGCTTATCATGGGTCCAAGACCTCCATGTGGCAAGTTATTTACAGTCATGATATAATGATTTATAGAGCCATGGGAACTTCTGTAAATAACACTTTTGTTTCTGAATCAGTCAACTCCGTGAATTTCGACCCATTACCGAAGCGCACTGAAATAAGGTCCAAGTCAAAATTTTACTGTATCTGTAATACTAAAACAAATGAAATTCATAATTGCAGAGGCTATTGTTATACTACCACTGTGCTTTTGTTGAGGGTTAGGAGTATATTGCTTAATACAATATATCTAATGTAATATAGTACTAAATATTTCAGACAAAAAAACTGCCTGCTACTGTGGCTTGTAATGTTATAAAAGCTTTTGCAAACCGAATAGCATTGTATATTAACAATATTTTTGTGAGCCAACACCACAATACAGGAAAGGGAAAGTATGATGATACAGAAAACACTTGTGATGATACAGATAAGACTTGTGATGATGCACAGATAAGACTTGCCATATAAGTTACTTTGTGAGCCACAGTAATGCTCTTAGGAGTTTTATCTATACATTTACTATTTTTAATTCTGTTTTTATTATTATAATTATAACCAAGTGCTCAACCCAAAAGGGTTATACAGAGCTGCAAATTTTATTGTAATAAATCAGAAGTATGTAAAAAATGTGCAAACTATTATGTTCACAAGGAAACACTAAATCCATCACTGGAGTTGTATGGTGCATGTTGAATGAGAGAATCTAATGTGATGCAAGAAAGGAGGAAAAGGTAGCTCAAACTCCTTGGATCATGAGCCCTTCACCAGTATCAAAGCACTTCCTGGAGCAGTGGCAATAAATCCATTTAACTTTTCTAATCACAATATGCAAGATGAAGTAATGTCTTTTAAAATTACATGAAATTTATCTTCATAGGTACATTGATGACTGTTCATTAAGGTTAGAGTTGAAATGGTTGACTTCACTAGTTTACATTTAGATGAAGATGGAATATGACTGACAGCTAGTGAGTAGTTGCAAGTGAGCTGGATAAATATTTAATGTGCTCACTATGCTAGCCAGTAGAAACATTTATTTAGTTTTACTACAGAATGCAAACAAAATGTGCAAGACAACACAAAAGGTACAAATACTCCAGAACTGAAAGTTTTTCTTCTCTTTTTATATATATTTTTTATGCAGCAGTCTATCAGCAAAATGACTAAGCAAAATTTTGATTCATGCTTCACTTTGCTTTCCAATATAATACATCACTACAGTAACCCATTCTCCTAATCAAATGTGTTTACTATGAATGAAAACTGTTGCTAAAATAACACTACAATGTGATCAGATTTTTATTGCCATGTTTCCTCGATCTTCTTGGCAGTTATATTTCCTGTTTGCATAGCAAAACATTGTCTCATATTTATGCATTAAGAGCATAAGAATAGACATACACTGCAGTAGGCCTATTGGCCATGCTAGGGAGCTCCTACTCACCCAACCACTCCCACTTACAATCTATTTTTAAAGCTCACTAAAATACTCCCTTCAGTAACACTTCTTGGTTTGTTCCATTATCCACAACTATTGCCAAACCATTGCTTTTCTATATTCTCCTTACCTAACGTATGTAATTAATGGTTTTCAAAAATGACAAGTTGAAGATTGAGACACTTGTGCAACATACAGGAATCTTTATTAAGGAATAAAGATTCCCATATGTTGCATAAGTGTCTCAATCTTATCCAACTTAATTCCATTGTTGTGACTCCTGTCTTCATTAGATGTTTTCAGCACTTTATATCCCTTTATTTATTGCAACTTTCCATTTATACACCTCACTCATAGCCCCCCCTAAATTCTATGCCTGTCTAGGAAGTGCAAATTAAGTGCCTTCAGCCTATCTTTGTAGGAAAGGTTTCTTAGATGGCATTAATTGTCATTCTTCTCTACATTTTCTAGCACAATAATGTCCATTCTGTAATATGGGGACCACAACTGAGCTGTATAATCTAAACGAGGCCTTAATGATATATAAGGTATGACCCTGGGAAGTCAAGAAGTCTATTAGCTTTGTTATGATCACTTGTGTACTGTTTTCTTGATTTCTGCTAACCAAAACTAAATCTTTTTCACATTCAGTTTGATTAAGATCTGTATTACTGTAGATTATACCTTAAGTACCATAGTTATTTTCTTTTCCCAGGATTAGAACTTTACATTTATCCACAAACTATATACATCTACCACTTTTCAAACAGTATCAACCTATTCCAATCTTTCTGTAGCTCCCTGGTGTTCTTAGAAGCTAGCTGATGATATGTTTTAGTGTCATCAGCAAACTTACTCACATTACTAATTATTTCCTCATTTATGTCATTTTTGAAAAATGAACCCAACACTCACTCCATGGAATACCACTTGTTCCACTTGTTTTATCCAGGACTGACCTCCAATGCAGCATGCTTTTACCTTCATTAGTCTCTAGTATGGAACTATCAAAGACCTTACTGAAGTCCATATAAACAAAGTTGTATATCATTACAGTAGGTCCCCAACTTACGATGTATTGCACTTATGATACAGTTTAGAACAAGTTAATGACCTTAAAACACTGATCTACAGTTACAACGATTGCGAATATCTGAACGTAAATCATTTTAAACAAGTTTGTTTTAGACTTTTTTTTTGCCAAGAGTCTTCATATGTTTATTTTATGAAAGTAATGAAGAGGTCATGTTTGAGTGTGACTGGTGAATTACTCTCAAATCAACAATTACAATTTCTTAAAGCTAAATTATATTTATTTTGTTTCCTTTGTTGTTTCACCATATGCACTGATATTTCACATCAGTATGTATGTGTTGTATATATACATATGAAGATATACGTTTGGTTTTGGGTGGTAGGTGTGTGGGTGTGTATCACATGGTCACTAGGTGAAGACAACAACTCTGCTTATACCACCAACTAACCTTCATCCCTCCAAACCTAAGAACACAGAAACCTTCACCTTACCTTATACCTACACCATAACCTGGGAAGAGTGGAATGTATGGCATGGGGTATGGAAGATGCAGTGCAGGTGTGTGTGGGCACTGTACATTGTATTTGGTGGAATGCAGTGTCTGTGGTATGGAGACCTGGTACATTGTGAAGGTGGTGTACAGTGTAGGAGTGAAATAGTGAGAGGACTAGAGAACAGTGTGAGGGGTGAAATACCATAAGGGGGTTGGAATATTATGTGGGACACGCAATGGGAGGTAGATATGGGATTAGGGAGAGGAGGAAAGTAAGGGGAATAGGAAAGGAGAAAGGTAGGCTAGGTAAATAGCAAAAGAGAAAGATAGGTAAGGAAAAATAGAGGGAGGGAGGTAGGTTGGTAAGGGTAACAGGAAAGGGAGGGATGGAGATTAGTAAGGGTAATAGGAAAGGGAAGGAGGGGGGGTTGGTAATGGTAATAGGAGAAGGAAGGAGGGATGTTGGTAATGGTAATAGGAGAGGGAGGGAGGTTGGTAAGGGAAATAGAAGAGGGAGGGAGTTAAGGGAATATTATAAGTATAACCAAGTGTTAAACCCATAAGGATTATACAGAGGTAAGGGAATAAGAGAGGAGGGAGGTAAGAGAATAGGAGAGGACTGGAACATAGATAAAGGAACACATCTCTGATTATAACTTGGGTGTCTCTGGGGGAAAAGAATTTGTCTCCATCAGTTTATGAAAAAATTTTAGGAACACGTTAATGTCACAAAGGAGATCCACTGTATTATATTTATTGGTAGGTGTGTGATAGTTAAATTTGTCAAGTGATGTTAACTTAATCGAACCCAGCTAGAATATGTAGAGAAACTGGATTAAACATAGTGAAAAGCAACACTGGCATTAGGAAAACAGGTTGATTGCACTTACTAGTTGATTTGCTTTTTTTATTGCAATTTTGCTGCCTCATCATACTCTTGCATCATCTACTTCATCAAACAGTTCATTACTCTAACATTATATCCACTCCCAATATTAATAGGCCCAAAATTAATATGTTAAAATGCCAGCATTCTCTTAGTGCTGTATGTGTTTAAATTGTCATATTTTGAAATGTGTAAGTTACAAAGGATGTAGAAGGATGAATAATATAAAATATTACTTTCATGGCTTAACACTTCACAATAACTGATAATCCAACATTGTCAAAAATGTACTGATTTATTCTTTACCTGTAATATGTGATTAACTCTGATTAGAATAAATCAAGAGAACTATTTCATTTGAAGAGTGTAATGTTCATGTTCAATAGACTTAAAACTTGCATAAAAGCATTTAGCACATGCTTTAAATAAGAATATTCATACACTGAGATTTGTCTTATTGAGAGCATCTGTTGCAGTACTAGGCCTAAAAGCTATCATACATTTGTACAGTCATAAATGTTTCATATATGATTTGTCCACAGCATTTTCTATCTGACCATACGAGTAAAAAATATATACTCTGGCAGAAGGCATCTCATAGAGGCTCTAGCATTCATTCAGCTTTAGAGAGTTTATATGGCATGAATCTCATAACTGTAATGCTCTTTATTTTTGTGATAATTAAAGTATCTATTTCACAAGCTAACAAACAAATGTGTTAAGAGCTACTTAAAATCTAGTGAATTACTTTTATGCTGGCAAATATTAGTGCCATTTTAAAAATGCACAAACAAATACATACTACTGCTGAAATAATGGCAATTGAGCAGAAACAAATGAAATTACACTAGTACAGTATTGTACATGACGTTTACATTTAAATTGTCGAGTCGGAGTTGGCAAGATACTAATCCTGTTTAAGATAAACTGAGTTTTTGTAACTTTTCATTTGACAAAAATTACAATAAAAAAATATAAAACATTGTACATTTTTCATTATAATAAGTATAACTTCTGAAGGCATGTGTGTATATATTATTATTATCTGTGTTTTAGGTGTTAGTCTTGCAATTAAAGAATATTTTATGCTGGAAACTTGTCTGATGTGTCCTATATTTGAGAGGCTTCTTGGCTGATTGTAAGACAGTGATCCAGTACACCTGGACATTATCCATCATTGTTCTCTTCTGATGCAGTGTTTATTTGCATAATGCTGGCCAGAAATCTCTTCCTTTATACTGTATTAAGATTTAGCATGATAGTGTGTGGTAACTGTTCACAGTAACACTGACAGTGATGAGCTGGTTAAGTTTAGGAGTATGTTTGTTACCATACTATACAGTATACAACTATACTATTAAACACCAGTAGTTGTTAATGCACACACTAATAACACCAACAATTGTTAGTACATACTAACAACACCTGCAATTACACTAACAGCTCTTAGTATGTTACTAGATCAGCAGTGATTAGTATACTCACTATACTAATACTTGCACGCACACATGCACACGCACACGCGCGCGCACACACACACACACACACACACACACACACACACAACAGCACTAGTGTCTAATCGACATGTGCCTAGGACAAAATGGTAACTAACACAGTGATATTCAAGGCAGAATTGGCTCAAAACAGGATCCTGCAGGATAAAGCACGACTAAGGGACATACCGATGTACCGGAGGGTGTACCTCATCTGTGACGGGACAAGAAGAAAGGCAGAAATTGAAAGAGGGTACAAAGATGCAAGGAGGAAAGAGAGGCAAAGACAAAGATGAGCAGGACAACCCAGACTCAGGAGGAAGAGCAAATACAACCTCCCTCAGAACCTCCTACAGAAAGACCTCAACCATGACAACTCCAATGCAACCAAACACTAACCCAAAACCCACACACTGTAGCCACTGTCCCCACCCTTATCACAAACTCCACCCCCACAGCAACCCCCCCATAGATCCCTGCCAGGTCTCCTGCTCCCCCAACCCCCACGTTCTCCCCAGATCACAGTTTTAGAAAAGAAGTTGAAGATTTGGTATACAAATGCAGATGGATTAACAAATAAATGATAGGAGTGGCATAGCACTCACAGAAACAAAACTCACCAGGATGATAACAGATGTAATCTTCCCACCCAAATATCAGATCCTGAGGAAAGAGAGGGAGCAGAGGGAAAGGAGGAATTGCACTGCTCATTAAAAGCCGATGGGGATTTGAGGAAATGGAAGGAATGGACAAAATGGGCAAAAGAGACTACATAGTAGGTACAATTCAGTTTGGGGGACATAAGGTAGCCATTGCAGTGATGTACAACCCACTACAGAACTGTGGGATGCCAAGAGAAGAATATGAAGAGAGCAACAGAGCAAGATGAGAAGATTTTTTTCGAATTTTTAACCCTGGAGGGTTAGCCACCCAGGTGGCTAACCCACCGGGTTATTTCCATTGGGGTCCTCAATCTTGTCCCCCAGGATGCGACCCACACCAGTCGACTAACACCCAGGTACCTATTTGCTGCTAGGTGAACAGGACAACAGGTGTAAACAAACGTGTCAAAATGTTTCCACCCGCCAGGAATCAAACACGGGCCCTCTGAGTGTGAAATGGGTGCTTTAGCCACCAGGCCACCGGGCCACCAATGCAATGGTGGATACACTAGCTGAGGTGGCCAGAAGAGCTCACACAGGTATAGCAAAGTTACTAGTTATGAGAGATTTCAATCACAAGGATATTGGAGCCACATGGGGGTCGCAAAACATGGAGAGTCAATATGATGCATGCAGTACTGGAAAACCTCATGCATCAACATGTTAGGGACACTACCAGAGAGGTGAGGATGAACCAGCAAGACTGGACCTCGTATTCACCCCGAGGACATCACATATGAAAGACCCCTCAGAGCTAGTGATCACGTGGTTCTGAGCTCTGAATATATAGTAAAGTTACAAGTGGAGAGGGTAACAGGAGTCGGATGGGAAAAGCCAAACTACAAAAAGGGGGACTACACAGGGATGAGGAACTTCCTGCAGGAGGTTTAGTGGGAAAGGGAATTGGTAGGAAAATCAGTAAATGAAATGATGGACTATGTGGTAACAAAATGCAAGGAGGCAGAAGAAAGGTTTGTTCCCAAGGGCAACAGAAATAATGGGAAGACCAGAACGAGTGCTTGGTTTACCCAAAGGTGTAGGGAGACAAAAACTAAGTGCATCAGAGAATGGAAAAAGTACAGAAGACAAAAAACCCAGGAAAACAGAGATTAGTTGGAGAGCCAGAAACGATTATGCACAGATAAGGAGGGAGGCCCAGCAACAGTATGAAAATGATATAGCATCGAAAGTCAAGTCTGACTCAAAGCTGTTGTATAGCCACGTCAAGGGGGAAGACAACAGTCAAGGACCAGGTAATCAGGCTGAGGAAAGGTGGGGAGCTCACAAAAAACGACCAAGAAGTACTTGAGGAGCTCAACATGAGATTTAAGGAAATATTTACACTGGAGGCAGAAAGGACTCCGGGAAGTCAGAATAGGAAGGGGGGAAGGGGTACACCAACAAGGGATATGCCAACAAGTGCTGGATGAAATACACAACTGGGGAGGAGGTGAAGAAGCTGCTAAGTGAACTTGATACCTCAAAGACAGTGGGACCGGACAATATCTCTCTGGATACTTGGAGAGGGAACAGAGATGTGTGTGTCACAAACAACAATTTTCAACACATCCAATGAAACTGGGCAACTACCTGATGTTTGGAAGAGGGCAAATGTATCCCCATTTTTAAGAAAACAGACAGACACGAGGCACTAAACTACAGACCAGTGTCACCAAAGTGTATAGTATGCAAAGTCGTGGAGATTATCAGGAGGAAAGTGGTGGAGCACCTAGAACGGAATAAGCTTATAAATGACAACCATCACGGATTCAGGGAAGGGAAATCCTATGTCACAAACCTACTGGAGTTTTATGACAAGGTAATGGAAGTAAGACATGAGAGGGGTGGGTAGATTGCATTTTCTTGGACTGAAAGAAGGCCTTCAATACAGTTCCTCACAAAAATTAATGCAAAAGCTAGAAGGTCTGGCACACATAACAGGAAGGGCACTGCAATGGATCAAAGAATACCTGACAGGGAGGCAAAAATAAGTCATGGTATGTGACAAAGTGTCAAAGTGGGCTCCTGTGACGAGTGGGGTTCCACAGGGGTCAGTCCTAGACCAGTGCTATTTTTGGTATATGTGAATGGCATGACGGAAGGGATGGACTCAGTAGTGTCCCTGTTTGCAGATGATGTGAAGTTAATGAGGAGAATTAAATCGGATGAGGATCAGGCAGGAGAACAAAGAGACTTGGGCAGGCTGGAAGACTGGTCCAGCAACTGGCTTCTCAAATTTAGCCCCACCAAATGCAAAGTAATGAAGATCAGGGAAAGGTAAAGAAGACTGCAGAGTACAGGCTAGGTGGCCAAAGACTGCAAACCTCACTCAAGGAAAAGGATCTTGGGATGAGTATAATACCGAGTATGTCTCCTGAAGTGAACGTCAACCAGACAATTGCTGCAATATATGGGCACCTGGCATGCCCGAGAATAGCATTCTGATACCTCAGTAAGGAATCGTGTACATCAGGCCCATATTGGAGTATGCAGCACCAGTTTAGAACCCACAGTGGTCAAGCAAGTGAAATTAGAGAAAGTGCGAAGGTTTGCAACAAGACTGGTTCCAGAGCTAAGGTGAATGTCCTATGAACAAAGATTAAGGGAAATCAGCCTGATGACAATGGAGGACAAGAAGGTTAGGGGAGACACGATAACGACATACAAAATAATGCGAGGAATTGACAAGGTGGACAGAGACAGGATGTTCCAGAATTGGGACACAGAAACAAGGGGTCACAATTGGAAGTTGAAGACTCAGATGAGTCAAATGGATGTTACGAAGTATTTCTTTAGAGAGTTGTCAGGAAGTGAAATAGTCTGGCAAGTGACGTAGTGGAGGCAGGAACCATACATTGTTTTAAGACGAGTTTTGATAAAGTTCATGGAGCAGGGAGAGAGAGGACCTATATTGGTTGCTAGCCACTCTTCTCCCTTCCTTGAGTTTCGAGATTTTTTTCTACTCTCAGAGCCCAGCCTTGGGCTAGGCTTATTTGGTACTAGCCTGGTCAGCCAGGTTGTTGCAGCTGGTGATCCACTGACCCACATATCCATCAGAGCTTGGCTGATCTGGCACCAGGTGAAGATATCTGTCCCGTTTCCTCTTGAAAACTTTTACACTTGTCATAAGAACATAAATAAGAAACACTGCAGAAGGCCTAGTGGCCCATGCTAGGCAGGTCTAAGTCACCTACTGGCCGAAGCCGGTCAGGTCCAACTCACAACCGCTCGTGTATTTGTCTAACCTATTTTTAAAACTACACAATGTTTTAGCTTCAATAATAGTACTCAAGACTTTGTTCCACTCATCCACAACTATATTACCAAACCAGTGTTTTCCTATATCATTTCTGAACCTAAATGTTTCCAGTTTGAAACCACTGCTGTGAGTCCTGTCTTGGTTAGATACTTTTAGAAACTTTTTTACATCCCCTATATTTATTTCTGTTTTCCATTTATTCACCTCAATCATACCCCTCTAATTCTATGCCTATCTAGAGAGTGCAGATTCAGGGCAATCAGTCTATAGCTGACCTGTACTTAACCAGCAGTTCCTGTCTTCTGCCCTTCCCGATATCATTTCCACCAGCAATGAGACAGACAATGAGCTTGTTCCCAATACCTGACATCATATTATCCAACCTGTTGACTACGTCATCAACACCAGCTCCTGGGAAATGCACAATTGGCAAGGAAGGTGAGAGAACATTGGACAATGACGCCTGTGGAAAATTTTGGATTTTCCTATATTCAGCATGGGTAAATTTGAATTCAATAATTGTGTAGTAAAATGTGATGTTGATTTGACCCTTTTGAGAAATTTC